ATAATCAATAAAACAATTGTCAAATTCACGACAAATTTCTCCGCTTAGTGACTGGCTACATACTTTGTTTAAAACTACATGAGAGTAATGGGGCTTGTTAGGAAATGTCCATAAATGATCAATCCTAGGTCCTAAAATGTTGTCCCAGTGACTTAGAAATATTCCATTAATAACACTGTCATGTGATGTTTTAATCACCGATGTAGAAAATTTTGATGATGGTGTTGTTGGAGAAAGACTTCCTGATAATTCTTTATTGATATCAAGATTGTCTTTTGTATTCACTTCTATGATTCCTATGTCTACATTTGGTCGTTTCACTATCTTTAAACTCTGTGATTTTGAAAATTCACTTGTCATTTTAAAACATGAATATTCAAAATGTATCACTTTATCATATAAGAAGCAAATTCAATTCAAACATAACTGCATATAATTATTTTTTTAGAAGTATATAAATATTATGTCCATGTCTTCAATATACATTTTGTATCTTTATGGTTTTAATTACTTTTTGGATTTCAAAATTTATAATATAGGTTTTAATTCCTTGTTAGATTTCAATACATAAACCACATAGTCTGCTATAACAATATTAGCAATCAGAAAGCTAAAAGCTACAAGTAGCAACGATGTTATTATATCAGAAGGTGCTGATGTAGTTTGGTAAAAACACAAAACAAACAGCAGAAAAATCAGAAAAACAATGGCAAAGAATGTGTAATTCACAAAAAGTATAATAATGCTTCCACGATCCAAGATCTCTGTTGACCAGTCTTGTCTCATAACTGCTTCTGTGTTCATTCACCTTATTTCAGCTTCTCTACCATTCTACAGACAGTCTAAGGTGTATGTAGCTGTAAGCAAAAAGTATCACAAATCTATTAGTTTTTTTTCCTTTAAAAAACAGTTTTCAGATGAATTATCTGGTGCATTTTAATACACACTATTTCTTGTCATTTTCCCTCTGTAATTGCACCATATGTCCCTTTATCCCTGCCTTACTGCAATAAGCACCATACATGTCTTTGGGTTCCAAAATTGTTGGTATTACAATACACACAAGATGATTAAGATTATTCAGTTATTGCTGGTGATTCAACATCACTCTGTTTATGTCATGGGTATTGTATGATAAGGTAATAAATCAAATATATCTTTGAATCGTCTGCAATCTTTCAGTTTTACATAGATAAAGTAGTCAAGAGTATATCCCTCTGAACTCCCTATAAAAGCTAGTAACTGAACAGAGTATGATGGTCTGTCATGTAGACGATATTCAACAACATTCACCTAACAGACTAATTATCAGACAGCTAACCACTGATACCTTATTTGTGTTTATTATGTAAAAAATATGAAAGAGTGAGAATGCAGTAAAAATTGTCAGACTTATTTGCTTTTTTTTTGCTCCGAGTTGAAGGACTCACTGTGACTATGAGATGAAGAACAGCAATAAAAGCACTGTTTCTTTGCTTTTTGTGCATCCTTATATCCTTTGTTTTTCTATTACAAATTTGTTTTGATTGATGATTATTTGGCAAATTTTTGATAGTGTTGTAAATTTATGTTATTTCAAGAAGGCACAAATAAATTTAATTGCTCTTTCCACTTACTCCTCACTACCAATGAAAATGTATGTCCTTCCTAAGGGACACAACTGGTACAAATGGGTCAAAAATTACAGGGTCAAGTACCGAATTGGTAAATAGACTATTGGAAAAGAAAGTATATGTGGTAGACATACAAAAATCACTTCAGAATTATTAGGATATATATAGCAAATTAATTGACATTTAACTAACCATTTAACCACTGTATAGTGTTTTGGGGCTATCAAATATTTGATGTTTTACTCTGGCTGATATGTTCATTTTTGAAGTAGACAATATTCATGTGGGTTAGAGAATAGTTTTGTGTGCATGAATATACAGTTAAGTCATATTATATTATATTTCTTGTTAGTTTTTTCTTGTGCAATTGATTTTCATCCATATATGCATCAATGATCCATTGTTTTAATGAGAAGCAAGGAACTTTATGCATAGTGAAAAATCACAAGAGATGAATACATATGGCAATGAGGGTACTAGTCATGATGGAATATTGGCTGTGATGATTTTTTCCATGAAGAACCATGCAAATGTTGGTCACCATAAACAACATTTTAAACATGTATGATGACTAAGGTTAAATTAATTGCTTTAAGGTTCAGATCTACATGATGTATGGAACTCAGAGTGAAACAAAATGGATTGATAGTTTTATAATATGTCATCTTTCATTTTTTTATAGCCCTCTTCTATTGTAAAATCAGTTTCATCCATGCCTAACATGGCTGGTAATGTAAATGGTACACGAAAGTGATGGAAATCACTCATGGAAAGATTGGAAGAGTAAGTTTGAATAATTTCAAATTATATTTCGGTATGGTCTAGACAAAAAAGAACAATAATATAGCACTATTGCTGACAATTGCATTAACTGCAGGTCTTTAGAAGGATAAGCATTTATTCAGTAGATAAAATGAGCTAAATGTGAATCAATGATAGTGGGACCCTTAATTTGCACAACAATTTGTTTAAATTGCAATTTCATATCCTAACCAAATAATATTTCACCTTATATGTATATATGTTTCACCTTTTACATTTTATCTTTAGAAACAGAAAAATTACCAAATAAAGATTCTTCTAATAAAGTTTATCAATTACCATATAGGAATTGGGACCACCAGCAAAATAAGAATTTTTAAAATTGTTTCCAAAAATTAATCTAAAAAGGTTGTTTTGGGGGAATGTAAGTTGAAACAATGATATAATTTTTTTCACCTCTAAGACTAGCTTATTATAAAAAAATTATCATGATTATATGACACTGAAGATTAAAAGTTGTAGAGTGTATTTTAATTCAATTTATAATCGACTATTTTCCAGAATATGACATTGAAAATGATTTTTTTTCAACATAAACAAATTAAAAAACTTATTTTATTTCCAATCTCTGATAAGTGTAGCCTATATTATTGGTTAATTACAGATGAGGATTGCACAGATTTATTAAGTAAAATTTAGACTTTACTTGAATACCTTTTTTATATCTAGATTTCATATTTTGTCTTTTCTTTTGAAAAAAAATTCTTGTTAATTAATCCTTGTATCATTTTTCTTTCAGGCATAATTTATAAAATCACTTTATGTAGTATAGATCAAAAGTAATAGGTAATAAATAAATCTATCATTTCTATATATATACATTTGTGTATTCAATAATGAGGTCAAGTATTTGTGTATTGAGATGAATGGTCTGTTTAATTATGTAAGACTGAGGATGACTAGTAATTTGGTCAATACGATTGGCACTTAAGGAGGTGGGACATTGTAATTAAGGCCCCACCTTTTCTCTGATTGTTTGGTATCATGACAGTTGTCAATCATACTGGCATTGTATCATTACTATTACCTAATTAAAATGACAAAAATAGCCTGCAAATTGACAAAAAAATTAAAGAATGAACTGCTCAAAAGATATAACCCAAATTTTTCACAGTTCATAATTATGTAGATATAAGAAGATGTGGTATGAGTGCCAATGAGACAACTCTCCATCCAAGTCAAAATTTATAAAAGTAAACCATTATAGGTCACAGTACGGTCTTCAACACGGAGCCTTGGCTCACACCGAACAGCAAGCTATAAAGGGCCCCAAAAAATTACTAGTGTAAAACCATTCAAACGGGAAAACCAACGGTCTAATCTATATAAAAAACGAGAAACGAGAAACACTTATGAACCACATCAACAAACGACAACTACTGAACATCAGATTCCTGACTTAGGACAGGTGCAAACAAATGCAGCGGGTTTAGACGTTTTAATGGTACCAAACCTTCACCCTTTTTCTGAAACAATAGTGTAACATCACAACATAGAAAGACACACTATAAAATATCAACTGAAATAGCTTAACTCAATCAAAGGACATATTAACACCATTGAACATACACTGACACAAATAAATTTGACCTATGACACAATGTAAATACAAAATAAATATTTACACAGACATGAGAATTATGGGGAACTATATTTCAGTGTGTATACATTTTGTAGATTTGGTAGCTAACCTGTGCTACTTTTTGTTTGAGAGGCCAGTGCCTAAGGAAAGACTTGGAACAAGTTCCAATCTTTCCAAAAATATAACCGTAGAAAGGGAAGGCATGGAAGCAAAAATTAATATAGCATACCAAGCCCTCATTATAATTAATCAGTCTCAGACTGATGAAGGATTAGAACTTCATATCTATTTTGTACTATTCCATATTTGGTTGTGAACCCCTGTAAGGAGATATCCTGGTATATTCTTCCTTTTAATTTTTTGCTGTGATGCCATTCAAGATGTCATAACTATTTAGACTTAGTCAACAAGGCTTCAATATACACCTTATCGCTATTTGTCCGTCATTACTGGACATCACAAAGGTTTCCGTAAAATGTTGACGTCACAATAGAAAATTTCTGACGCCACAAAGGAAAAGTGATTGTTGTATGACATCAATAGTTTAAGTGTCACAGATTCTCTGGTCCAGTGTCGCACTCGCAGATTCCCAAATAGCAATAAGGTCTATTGAAGAATATGTGTTGACTTTTGCTGCACATTCTTGATTCAAATGAAATTTATACAAATAATAAAATCATAACAGCTGAAGTGTTTATATATGAAAATAATAACTTTTATGTACACGTTTTGGTTTGAGTTTGGTTATTTGATACTGGAGAGAACAGCAGCTGTAGTCAGCTGATCTCTGAAGCTGTCAACAGAAGTGGTTTCAATGATGGTCTGACGGAGAAAGTCTCATGACTTTTAAATATATTTTATGGATATGAACAATTGAGAAGTTAGAGACCGTCTACCTGATAACACTGGCATGTTCCAACAAACTTGACAAATTGTTGTAAACGTTAAACAATAAGGCCTTCCGAATGTGCAGTAATCCGAAAGTCCACTTCCGGATAAATAGAAAACCTGCCGTGTGCACGTGTGATTGTGTAATCTGTCTATTTGGATTCTTCTGAACATATGAAATAACAATGAGCTGTAAAACTCCAAATTCGCATGTACAGGAAATAGGGAATGTCTTATCTGACCCTTCTCGACCACTGAAAGAACGATTTAGGGCTCTTTTTACACTGAAAAATATAGGTGGGAAACAAGCGATTGATTGCATTTCAAATAACTTTTCAGATTCGTCTGCTCTTCTCAAACATGAACTAGCTTATTGTTTAGGTCAAATGGTAAACCCTTATGCTGTTCCTAAACTCGTGGAGGTTTTAGAAAATACAGAACAGGAACCTATGGTTCGACATGAAGCAGGTATTAAACACATTAAAGTATACATATTTTACAATTATAAGCAAGTTTGTCTGCCATTACCTTTCAAGTCACATAACTTCCTGCAAAATATTGCATCACAAATAAAAATATTTGACTGAACTTATCCGGAATGGAATAAATAGCGATTAGGTGTATCAAGTGCTCACAATCATGTTTTATCCCACCACATTCTATGTGTACCTGTCCCAATTCAGGAACCTGTAGTATAGTGATTGTCAGTTTATATCTGTCATATTTATTTTATGTAAATTAATTTGCTATGAATAAGGCAGTTAGTTTTTTGGTTCGAATTGTTTCACATTTTTCATATACCTTTTATAGCCATCTATACGGTATGGGTTTTTTTCTCGTTGTTGGGTCTGTAATTGCTTATATCCTCTTCATTTGAACTCTGGTGGATAGGATACATGTAGTTGTCTCATTGGCAATCATACATTCTTTTTTTTACCACATCTCCTTATTTTCATAATCATTCGTAACAAATTCAGCTAAATACTCAAGAGGGTGAATACATCTATTGATTTGGAATCTAGAAAAATGTATATAAACATTTTTTGGTCAAAGGCAGGCTTATTACTTCAGAAGAAACTTTGAAACAAATTTAGTTACAATAAAAGACAAAGCATACATGTACCAACAACTTAAAAAAGTTATTAGACCAAAACTTGTCTCTGACCCTTTAACAACCGAAAATATCAACTCCATAGAAAAGGTCCAAAGATGTGCTACAAATCAGGCTTTCCAGATAGTGTTTTTCAATGGCACTTGACAATTAGTTTAATGAAAAAGTGACAGAAAATGTTTTGTCCTTTATAGTGTCAATCATGTCGCATAGTGACAAAATCTTTAAATGGAAACTACTGAATATCAGGCAACAGTGTTAAGAATGATGCTGTCTGTGTAAAATACACTGGTTCATGGTGTCAGAGTTACATGTAGATTGGTAAAATATTCCTGGCTAGAGTTTAATAGTCTTGATAATGATTTGGTAGGCAGTAAAATCAGAAAAATTGCTCTAGACTTCTAAAAGATATGAATTAGAATTGGAAAATAATTCCTGAATGATAATACATTGTAATACCTTTCTTCTTATTGTGTCCTTTGATCACTTTAACCACTGTACTTAATCATTTGAAGACTTAAGCTTGTACAAATAAATATGTACTGCTAACTAATTTTGGAATTAGAGTTATCTCCCTTAGTCTTCCAGATTATTTTTTTTAGTTTCATGCATAAATATACGTCCTTAATATAATTAAGAAAAATATATTCTCTACTCTTCTTGAGTGTATTTTGCGTACATTACTTTAATAGAGGGTATAATTGATTGTCTTTATTATAAATCAAAGTTCAATTTTATGGACAATGAAATTTCATCGGTCTATCATTCATTGTCATTTGATATATAAGGATCCTATTTACCTTGCTTTAGGGAGCACTTTACCTCTGCATGTAGTACAGATTTTTGAAAAGTTCTTGAAATAAAAGTTTGAAGTCTTAATGGAAAAAATCACATAAAACAGGAAACAAGTATTTGAGGCATGTTTTGACTTCAAATAACTTGAGAATTTCAGAGGTTGTAAAAAAAAAATATTGTTATGGATATGTAAATTTTTGAGGAGTGACAGAAATATCTCCGGCAGGCTTATTTTGTCGCCAGATGAAATATAATATCACAATTTGCGACATTGGCCAACCCTGAATTGTGTAATGGGGAATTATATTCAAACAGATGTTCACAATGATGACTAAAGACCTTTTAATCCCAATGTTGGAACTTTAATTTGTATAATTCAAAAGTCCAGGACAAGGGAGGACTTTCTATATGTAAATTTAAAATGTTTTGGGCTTTTCACCTTCAGCTTGGAAATTAATTTTGAATTCCTAATTCACTTATTGAAAGGAAAATGTATATCCGACAAATGTACAAGAAAATATTAGTTATATCTTCAATTATATAAAAATTACATGTATAAATTGTACACCTAACTGACTGTTTTTGTTAAGAAATTTCTATAAGTCAATGCATATATTTTAGTACATGTACAATGAATATGAAAATAAGGAGTCCAAATTGGAATGATTGCCGATGCAATTAGACAACTATCCAAAGACAAAAAGACAATGCAACTACATATATCCACCAAAGTAAAAAGACTGATGTAAACAGCTACATATCATTATTGGCATTGGCATTCAATAAAGAGCAAAACCGATACTATATAGTAAGCTATATCATCCCTGCTTTTAACAAAATGAGAAATGAACAATTACTTTGTAAGGGCTGATTTAAAATGTTTAAGTTATTTGAAATGGAAAACAACTTAATTTGAAAAAATGGCTGACCAATGACATCCACTTTACTGCAAGCTCCTGCCTTACATCTAGTAATGTGGCATGTTTAAGCATGCTTGTAGGGGCTCCATGTTCCACCCTAACCAGTTGTGTAACAAAACAACATTTGGACAAAGTGTGAACATCAGTTAAATTAAAAAGAGCTTCACATTCAAAACGGTAGACCGTACTAAGCATTTCACAGAAACAAATTTACCAAAATTGATACCTTATGAACTTGAGTTGCTTTGCTTGAACCATTATGTGTCTGTGTCTCTCATATAAATGTTCAAGTGGAGCTAGTTTTCTAGTTTAATCTATGAACACAACATCTGTCTAATTCAAAAAGGTATTGAGTCTGAAGGGTTGCTAAACTAGAATTTATTGAATATTGCCTAAATGTCCTACTAATAAATATAACTTGAGGTGGTTTATTGTTTAATATCCTTTATAATTTCAAACTTACAGGTGAAGCTTTAGGAGCCATTGGTTGTGTAGATGCAGTTCCAATCTTAGAAAAATATAAGGATGATAGTGTGATAGAGGTACTGTATGATCGTTATCTTTGAAAGTAGACCTCAGACCAAAATAATATATATACTTTTTCCTGCCTCCTGGCAAAGAGAAAGAAAGTTTGCAAAACCTGTTCAATTTATGCACCTACAATTTTGAAGTTTTTTAAACATTTTCCTCATTTTATATTTCCATATATATTTATTTCTCCATTGTTTAAGAAACATTTTAATTGTTACTAACTTAGTGGTTTTTATGCCCCCGCCGTAGCGGATGGGGCATTAAGTTTTTTCCTTGTCCGTCCCGAAGTTGGTTTCCGTTCTAACTTTAGTTTGCCTCAACCAAATGTTGTGAAACTTATACACAATGCTTATTACCACAAAACACAGATCTAGTTTCAATTTTGATGGGGTCACTTTAACCGATCTAGAGTTATGCCCCTTTACAAATGGCAAGATTGCTGAATTTTTGTTTCTGTTCTCTGACTTTAGTTAGCCTCAACCAAATGTTATGAAACTTTTACACAATGCTTATTACCACAAAATACAGATCAAGTTTGAATTTTGGGGGTGTCACTTTAATTGATCTAGAGTTATGCCCCTTTACAAATGGAAAAATTGCTGAATTTTTCGTTTCCGTTCTTTAAAGTTTGCCTCAACCAAATTTTATGAAACTTATACACAATACTTATTCCTACAAAACTCAGATCAAATACAAATTTGGGTAGTGTCACTTTTACCGTTCTTCAGTTATGTCCCTTTATAACTTTATATGATATGCAAGTGGGGGCATCATCTGTGTCCCATGGACACATTCCCCATTTATTTTTTTAAGATCTCAAAATGGAACAGAGTAAAAATCCTGATAAATATTGAATATGATCAGATGATTTCATATCTGTATCTATGATTCTGAAATATATAACTAAACATACATACATGTACATCTTATTTTAAAAATATTCTGTCGTTTGACAGTTGAAGAAACATTGTTAGGTTAAATGACAACTTGTAATAAATCTTATCAGGTTGCAGAAACATGCCAGCTTGCTTTGGAAAGAATTAAATGGCTTCAAAGTGAAGATAAAGAAAGAGAGAAATTATCGGAGAATCCATATTTTTCCACTGATCCTGCACCTCCATCAACAAACATGGACATTAACAATTTAAAAATACAATTACTGGATGAAAATGCAACGTTATTTAACAGATACAGAGCTATGTTTTCACTGAGGAATATAGGAACAACAGAAGCTGTTCAAGCTTTGGCTCAAGGTATTTTTTCTATTTGGTTAAATAATAGAATAAAACCGGGTAAAAGTAATTATATTTAAGGCAGATTCACAATTAAATATCTCAAATGACATACTTTTCAGGAATAATAGAAGATTATTGGGTATACATCAATGAGACAGCGGGGCCTCGGTGGCAGAGTGCTCTAAGTAGTTACTACTGTAATCACTAGCCAGTCAACACTGAGGTTGTGAGTTCGAACCCCGTTGTGCAGGTGCACTCGACTCCAATCTTAATTGACTAGGATTGTCAGTTTTCCTATCGAAGGTCGGTGGTTTTCTCCAGGCACTCCGGCTTCCTCCACCAATAAAAACTGGCCGCCACGAAATAGCCCAAAAGCGGTGCTTAAAAGTGGTGTTAAAACACCAAAAATCAAATCAATGAGACAGCATCCCATAAGAAAGACTTCTACAGGTCAAAATATGAACTTCAATGATAAACAAGTGTCTATACAAAAATGATATGCAAAACTGAAAAAGTCCAGAGTCTAGAAAAGTTGTGAATAAATTTAACATGGATAATTAAAAAACTATCATCAACATAAAACTCCTTAAAAGACACACTTGAAGACAATAACTGATGCTCATGAGCTTCCTGACTTGTTTGTATTTAATATGGTTTCTATTTGTTGTCCAAGACTTACACCTATAAAGAGACATGTCAAACTACATTTTCTGATACTGGAATACGTGATACGTGAAACGTGAACTATTTATTTCACGTTCACAGTTCCTATCGAACACAAATAATGGTGCCACCAAACAATGGTACTGATAGTAGAACATACATGTGAACCTCCCGATGGGAGTACAATAATACCGTTTTCAGGGGTCTCCTCCCGTCCTCCTGTTGAAGAGAAAAAAATGCCGTGTATGAAATATTTCATGAATGAAATCTTTCAGACATTACCTGAAGTTAAATTTTACCTGTAAATCAAAGAACATGCATAATTCTATGGCTTCACTTGCCAGCTTGGGTGTCAAACATACTAGTAATCAATGATTTTTACCTCAGGCTAACTGCCGTTGTGTAATAAAAACTTTGTGTATTTAAAAATAATTGAAATAAATTTTGGGTTACTTCCCTTGTTTTTTTTATGCTGTTGAAATTATTTTCCTTTAAATAATGTAAATTGTTAAAAGAATATAAATGAAATATAGATTAAACAAATAATCATAAAAGGATGATAATTAAATGATTTTAAATGTCTTAGGACAAATAAAAAAATAATAATTTGGAAATTATTTGAGAGTTCTATACTTTTTTTCAAGGCTTAAATTGAAATTTATATAATAAGTATGACCTCTATTAAAATTGCTTTTGTTTCATTTGCATGAAAGAAGAATCAATATGCAGTTAAAGATAAAAAAAAAAAAAACTTTATGCAGTGAATGTATTATTGAATAAAGATCAAACAACAGTCAAAAAATGAAATTAAAAAATTTTCTGAAAAAAGAAAAAAAGAATGAGAGATTGAATAGAGATAAAGAAAATTTAATAGTACAAGGGTACTATAAACATTTTACATTTGGATGGAAAGTTGAAGAAAAAACACTTTAAAAGACAATTTAGTACATCACACGGTTACATTTACGATAAAAAACCTCCTGATCTGAGTCCTAATCTCCTGACCAAAATTTCCCAATCTCCTGATCTGAGTTTCACAGTCCATCACATGTATGGTAGAATACATATTAATTAGAAATGATATTATTATATACTGCATAATTAGATCTGTTACAATTTTCTGACAAACAAAACTTTAAAAATTGGATTCTATTAAGTTTAGAATACTTTTACATCAGCTAATTTAAAGAAATAGTGATAAATGAAATTGATATTGCTATCTGATTGTGTTTTAACTGGTTGAAACCTTTTCAGGACTAAAATGTGCAAGCGCTTTGTTCCGACATGAAATTGCCTACGTATTAGGACAAATGCAACACCAGGCATGTGTACAAGAACTGAAAGAAAATTTATGTGATGAGAAAGAGAACCCCATGGTACGACATGAATGTGCTGAAGCCTTAGGGGCTATAGCCACTGAAGAATGTACAAAGATTTTAGAGCAATATCTACAGGACAAAGAGAGAGTGGTTAAAGAAAGTTGTGTTGTTGCTCTAGACATGTCTGAATACGAACAGAGTAAAGAATTTCAGTATGCTGATTCATTAACTAAGTTAAATTCATAGATGTCATCAACTGGTTAGGATTTCAACAAGCTGATATGATAGGAAGATAATTTATTAAGAGATTTGTGATCTGTCATGGACTCTTCTGTGAAGACAACTCCTGGTTAGAACAAATTTCCATTTACACTTAGTGCTACAACTTACACTGAACTTGATGATGTCCAAAATTTTGGCTTATGATGGAGAATGATTTAATTTATAGTGCAAGATCTCATGAAAAATTTTGTTTTAGAGTATTTGTAGGACTTTTTTTGTACTTGACAAATTTGAATGATTTTGAAAATTAACTTCAATGTTATGATATCAATGTGTCATTCTTCGTACTTGATTTTGGAAATTGAACCATATTTTGGACAAAATATCACCTTTAAAATATCTTATACTTTTGATGTTAATCTACTGCTGAACTGTTGTCATAGTAGTCTGCCTAGGCCCTAGATTGTATATGAACTGCTCCTGAACAATGTGACCGCACTTTGAGAATATTTTACAGAACCTTTACTATATAGTCCCATGATGTAGTTTTGCACCTATTTCATTTCTTTATCTGAATGATTTTTGGGGTTACTTTTGGGATGACATAGACTTCGTCATATCTGCATACTAGAGTACACATTTATATCTGCTTCTCCTAAACCCATAAACATAACTTAATGAAACTATCTCAGAATCTTTACCATATAATACCAATGCTTTATTTAGGGGATACCCATTTCGTATCCACAACTTTTCCTAAACCCCTTATTACAATTTGCTGAAGCTATCTCACAATCAAAAGAATAAAATGCTATTGTACACCACCTATTTTCTTATGTTGATCAGAATTATATTTGGGGTTAACCTTACCGTAGCATGGACTTTGCAATTGCTTTATTTTAGGGGGTACCTATTTTGTATCCTCAACATCTCCTAAACACCTATTTACAATTTATTGAAACTTTCTCACAATCTTAACCATGTAATGCTATTGTGCACCTTCTATTTTGTTTTTTGGTCCATATAATTTTTGTGGTTCCCTTCAGCAAAGCATGTGCACACTACCTCACCTTACCTGTGTCACATCTACACACAATAGTGCACATTTGTATTCGATTCTCCCCCTAAACCTCTAATCATAATTTAATGAAACTTTCTCACAGTCTTTACTCTATAATGCTTTTGTGCACCTTTTGTTTTTTGGTCAAAATTATTTTTGGGGTTCTCCGTAAATAGTCATGGACTTTGCAAGGGGGGGGGGGGGGGGGTTTCATTTTGTGAGCTTTGCTCACAATACATATAGTGCTAAAACTGGGTCAACTCCTTGAATCAAACCAAAGCCAACAACTTTAGTCTGCATTTGTTTGTAACTTTCTATAGTACATGTGTCATGTTTGTAAATTTCGTTTCTAGTCAGGAACAAAACTTAAAATTGATTTAAATGAAGGTCATTTTAAAAGTTATGCATAATAGCTCTTACGGAATGATTGTTTTATAAAGGTTTAACAATATTTGTATTTGAAAATAAAGAAGACTCATTACTTATACATAAAATGCACAGTATTCTTGTTATATATTTGAAACGAATGAGATGTGGGTATATGTTAGTAAAACAGCAACCCAACGTCAAATTTTAAAACCAACTAAAGAGATTAATGTAATTTGTAGCTATGTTAAAAATTGATCTTTACTTTAAATTAACTTTGAGTATATAGGACAACAAACATTTATGCATTTATTATTGCTTATCGTATTTCATAATTCCAATGCATAAGAAAAGTAGAGAGTGAGATTACTGTGTTATCTCCCTTTATATACTAATTTTTAAAATTCATTAAAAAGAAATGTACACCAAATTATTTACATTGTATTAAAAGTAATGTAAATAAGTGTTACTTGAGTGATGTAAACAAAATACGAAACACAACACTGTTTTTTCTTAAGATTGCCTGCGATGCTGGCAGGTGAGTTCATCCTTTAAAGTAGAGTGAAAAAAAATGCACAGACTTATCAGATGGAAAAACTTTTTTTGTTTATGTCAATTGGTACATTAACAATTTATAAGCATTCTACCTGTAAATGATACAAGTAACTTTAATGGACAAGATTAAAATTAACTCTTCCCTTTACCCATTTAAAAATATAGAACTTAGATAAAAATTAAAGAGAAAGTTTTCTTTAGAATAAATTGTGACTTTTTTTTTATATTACTAAAAATGTATGCAAAACCATGCATGTATTTGTCAATTTTCTTACAAGTGGTTTATTCTAACAATATTATCACCTTCAGGCTTGTTCTTCGTCTCAAAATTACAGTGAGGTCTTCAATATCAAAACCACACAACCATCTGCAAGTTCCAAGTCAGCAGCCCTTCATATTGATATTGCTACAATTGAAGGTTTTGTAATATTGTCGATATAATAATTGATGACTATGTACATTGTAATGGTCAATGAAATCTTGCAAAAAAGGTCAACTTTGCCTAACAGGTTGGTTTATTTCTATAAAGCTCATGGTAATTTTTTTATACGACCGCAAAAAATTTTGCGGTCGTATCTTGGTATCACGTCGTCGTCAGCGTCGTCCAAAGACAGTTGGTTTCCGGACAATAACTTTAGTATAATTAAATAGAAATCTTTGAAATTTTAACACAAGGTTTATAACCACAAAAGGAAGGTTGGGATTGATTTTGGGGGTTATGGTCCTAACAGTTTAGGAATTAGGGGCCCAAATAAGCATTTTTTTAGTTTCCAGACAATAACTTGTGGAACGGTGTATGGATCTCTCTGAAATTATACCACAAGTTTCCATACCACAAAGGGATGGTTCGGATTTGCTTTTGGGGGTTATGGCTCAAACCGTTTAGGAATTAGGGGCAAAAAAGAGGGAAAAACAATGGTTTCCTGTTAAATGGACAATTACTTAAGACAATTTAAAAGCTGTGTAAGGGAGGTAATCCAAACACAACATTTTGATTACCTCCCTTACACTGCTTTAAATTATGTATAAAGAAATGTTGTATTGTCTTGAGATGATTAGCTGTCAATTTATTTTTAGAAGTTACTATTAAGGAATATTAATTTTAGCCATGATTATGTATGTCATTTTCTATTTTAAGACTTTTATGGCGTACTTAAATGGGTAATTTTGGTTGCAAACTCCATTGGAAATATGAATTGAGATTATGACCATATCTTGAGGGAAAGAATTTTTTTGGGGGAAAAGGGGCAGGGGGGTAAAAAATAATTGTGGGGGGTCAATTTTTTCTCATTTCAGATTTCAGAAATTAAAAAAAAGTGGGGGGGGGGGGGGGTCAATATGCAACAGCATAGTGTATTGCACAAAAGCAAAAATAAAGGGGGTAAATTTTTTTTGGTGGGCGGGGAGGGGGGGTCAATTCGCAACAGCAAAGTGTATTGCACAAAAGCAACAAATTGAATATAAATTCAAATCATATAACCAAGTCTAAGTTCTTTGACTTCAGTTATTCTGTGTCAGAAACCTATTATGTGTCAAATATTTAATAACAATCCAAATTCAGACCTGTATCAAGCGTGGATATTGTGTACATTTTTGCCCCAACTGTTCAGGGTTGGACCTCTGCTCTATCCAGCTGCTCTCGGCGAAGCAATTTATTCAATGAGCTTTCACCTCTTTATTACTATTATACAGTACAAAGCTGCTAGTTAACCATTTTAACCAAAATTATTCTGAGACTATTTTAGGCATTTTTTCACAATTGATCTCTTGTTTGAAGCTCATTAGACAAAGTTTTGATCATTTGTATAAAGCTTGGATCTGATTGATATGATCCAATCTGTGTGTGTACAAGGAGCATATTGTCTTCCTCTTCTCGCACAAATTGTACCAGTATGTTATTTTACCTCTAAGTTTAAGATTGTCATAGAGATAAGTTTAAATCTATTTTTGTGAACAATGATGATGCTTCTGTCAACATTTCCCAGGAGTAGCAGTTTTCAAATTTTGTTATATGTATTTCTTCAAATATGTAAACCAAGTTGTATTTGTGAGAAATTTATTTTCCAAGTGAAAAAATAATGGGTATATGAAAAATTTTAAATTTGTTGAACTCGAATCATGAATACAGGAGCAGAGGAAGAAAATCCTGAATATTTATTGCAGTGAAATCAGCTGAAAAGGGCTAAACACAAAAAAGTATCCTTGTATTTAAATGAATTTAACAGGAATCTAAATGAACATATTGTCATTTAACTATTGATTTAGAGGAGAGGATGTCACTAATTGTTGTTATAACTGGTTCCCAATCCCTTTTGCTACATTTACAAAAAACGTCTTTAAAGTAAGTGATTTATAATACGAAGGGATATTACATAGATGTTGAAATAGGTACTGTATCTTGCTAATACAATGGCACCAAGGAAATAGCTGTATTGCTGTTCTTAATCTTGAAGTGTAAAGAGGTGACAGTAAGCAATAGTCATATGCAGATGGTTCAGTTTCACTAATGGGCCACAAAGTGAGGAACACAGTTATTGTTTATAAACAAAAAATCTCTCATCTATGATTTTGGACATATTCTATTTGAAAGAATTGACCTGATCTTGACCATTTGTGCTGTTTTAAGGAAAAAACTATGAAGTCCTCAATTATTTTCTATGAATTTAATTATCAAAAAACATCATATTTGGTGAAAATTATTAAATAACTTTTGAGAAGCCGAATCACAAAGGCCTAAATTGCTGAATGTTCTATCTAATGTGGTACCTAGAATATCAAACCACTTTTGTGAAATTATCTGCTTTAAAACTAGCCATCATACATATCCAAGTTTACACTAAGGGTAAAGGAATTGAAGAAACTGTTAAAATTACTGCATAACCAGGAAAGAATTGTGCATACTGATCAAGATACCATATAGCCAAAGGAGTAAGATGGACTGTCTGAAGCTGTGTTTATCAGCTTGAATGGATTTCTCAATGAAGGGTTGGTATATTTTGTTGGTACCGGGGTAATTACTAATTGTCCTTGAGAAAAAAGTGTCTGAAACACTGAATTGAGGTGAAAAATATAAGATACTCATGGATTTTTTTGAAATTTAGCCTCGCTAATAACAATGAAGACCAGAAGAACTTTTTATAATAAATTTTAAAGTTCACCACGTTTTATATTTAGGAAAACACATTTCATATTACATGAATTTTTCCTTTATATACTGTTTAATTACATAAACAGTTTCCACCTTGCTAGATTTAATAAATAGAAAATTTTCACAGATAAAATACCAATTGAAAATAATATTTATATTAATTGTCACTTTTTAACAATGATTAATAGCACATTCCTAAAACACATTATTAAAGATAATTGAATCTTTAAAATTACCATGATTATGGAAAACATTTCAAAATTAATTTGACATATCTGCTGTGTGATGTATTAAACCAGATGTTGTATTATATCAAAATGATATTAAATTGTTTTTTCTTCTTTTTGAAATACAATTGATAAATAGATCAAGCCTAAAGCCTAAGATATTTAATACTGAATAATTTATGCAATTACAAAAAAGCAGATAAGAAATCATTTAAGAAAAATTAAATGATTGGAAAATAAATTATTTTGGGTGAATGGAATTTTTCTTGTTTGAATTTGTTTGGTAAAATGCACTATTTGAAACTGCAGCTGTTTAACTTAGATTTGAATATACTCAAAGTGTTCTCCAGATGAGTTAAGAGGAGAACAAATAGATTAGACAAAGAAGGAGAACAAATAGATTAAACAAAGAAGTAGAAAAAAGAAGCCAAAAAGCACCTGCCTGTTTTTCAGGTATTTTTGAAAAGCATTTGTGGTGCTTGATTTTTTCTTTGTTTGGCATGATTCTTACTACATAGCTATATCACCAATCTGTTGCATAATTTATTGGCTATTTATAGAAAAAATGAATAAATTGCCCTGATTTCAAAGAAAACAATTTCTTTTTCAAGGATCACAGCACTGATCTCCACAGGTTGATTAATTTTTGCTGATATTGAACAGGTAACACTTACAGAATACAAGACATAAAACATCTCAATGTAAGATCATTTACTATCACCTATCTCTGTTTAATGTGCACAAATTGTATATTAACCTATTACATGGGCCAATAGAAACAGCTGTCATAAGAATTTGTCTCAACTGGATTTAAAAACATAAATATCGTTAAAGTACTTGTAAATAGTGAAGTATTTCATGAATGAAGAAATTATGATTGATATTTTGCAGGATTACAATTTTTGCTGAGGGATTAAGTGATCAATTCAGTACCTGACCTTACCTTTTCAACTTACAGGTAAGAAGTTATATCAGTTATTAAATATTTTATCAAAAATGTCATCCATCAAAAGAAAATGAAGGATGACCATTTTTGACAGTTTGACTTATTGACAGTTCTTCCTGCTAGTATATATATTGACAACAAATAACTAAAATAATTATTTTATTATGAGAAATATGAATTTGTTGATAAATATACATGACTTTTAACAGTATACATAATTCTTTAATGTTAATTTTGCCATAAAACAGAGAACTTTCAAGTACTACATAAATCAAATGTAAGCAAACAAACATTTTTTTTCATAGAGGGTCTGGGAAAAGAAATGTTTTCTGAGCAGCCTGAATTAAAATAGGAATGAAAGAATATTTGATAAAATATGTTCCATCACATAATAGCTTGATAAAAAGATTTTCACCAAAGTTTGGGATCTTATTTTTTGTTTAAAGAATTTGTCTGACCCATCTTAAACATTGCTGATGCTTTGTGAGAAAAACAAACAATTTAAAAAAAGAACCAATTTATTTTATTTAAGACTATCATAAGAATATTACTATTTGTGTAGTGCCAGTATTCTTGACAGAACTTCATAATTCCAATTACCAGTTACTTTGGGAGATTAAATTCATATGACAGGGAAATTCCTTTTAACTTTACTTGATTTTTCCTATCATTATTTATGTGTAAGTATAAGACAATAAAGACAATAGACAATATTTATTAGCACAAAAGCAATTATAATAATCGGTAAAGGCTCAATACAAAGTACATTGTATAATAATACAAAAAATATATGATTGGCATTGTATTAGTATTGTTATGTAAGACCAACCAATAATGAATATTGCATTGACTTGTACTGTTCTAACCTTTGATAACAACTCAATAAAAACTGATTTGTTTGCAAATATTTATAAGTAAAGTAAGTGCTGTCCATCAGTCTAGCAAATGTATGTTTAGGAAGTCTGGTAATGTAATTGCTACTTTTCGTTGACTTTTTTTGGCTCACCTGGCCTGTATAATCATATAAGCTATTGTCATAAGGTTAAATGTTTTGAAACTCGAGGAGATTGATGATAGGAAACCCTCAACAGATGATCCTCTTTTAAACTAGGTCGGGTGGCAAACAGTGGCAGATTCAGTGGCATTTAGTTTTCACTGAAATCTAGTGGATATCTTATTTACCTCTCTTGTTCTCCGAGTCTAAATGTCCAATTGTAACCAAACTATATGGAAGGACATCATTTGGTTCTATGTAGATAAAAGGCATGTCTGCCAAATGCAGTCTTTAATTATGATTAATAAATTCTCAACGAATCTTTTCAATTGAAACTACAGGGATGTTTCGCTACTTCAGGGGATTGATGATTTGCAGACCTCCTACAAGTAAATGTTATTAATATCATCTTCTCTGAAACTACTTGGTCTATTTTAAACATGGCATTAATGATGCATGAAGGGGGACCTACTGTATCACTGGCCTGTCAACACGGAGGTTGTGAGTTGGAATCCTGCATGTGGCAGGTTCACTGGGCTCCAATCTTAATTGACAAGGATTGTCATTTATCCTACCAAAGGTCGTTTGTTTTCTCTGGACACTCCACCAATTAAAACTGACCGCTATAAAATAGCTCAATAGTGCTGAAAGTGGTGTTAAATACAAATCAATCAATCAATGATGCATGAAAGGTCTATTGTTCTTTAATAATGTAAACTTTTTTGATTTCATTGCATCATATATAACCCATGTTTTGGCAGATTTAGGGTTGTGGAGGCAAGAAATAACCCACCCTTTTAATCCTCTGTAAAGTGGAGCTTTAATATGTAAGTACTACTCACAGTACTTTAATACCACTAATATATTTAGGAGATTCGGTTTTAGACAAGGGATTAAGTATGGTAATTGTTTCTGCCTAATTACGTCAAAACGCAGCATTTACTAAGGTTTGATATTTAGCTGTAACTTGACGATATTTTCGATGCATAATAAATAAACATGTTAAGCGTAGAAAATATGAAAAGTGATGAAAATTCCTCTGTATTACATCATCAGCACCACTTAAGTGTAATTCTGGTTAATGAAGGCATGGTAAATGAGCTTTAACGATTCCATACTGTGTTTATATCGTCATTGGTGGTTACTTAAAATGTTTGTACTAAAAATGATAGTATATTCTTAGTAGAGGTAATTAATGCTAGAAAAACTCACAGGTACTGCCTTTGAATGTACTGCGATATTTTATTTGGAAAATAGTTTATTATTATTACGATAGTGTTGATATAGTGTTAGTAGATTATTTTCGAGCACTAATATATTGGATAAGTAGATTCTATCTGTGGGTAAATTGTTTCAATGCAATAACTCTGTTTTCAAAATTTATGAGAAAAGTAACTTGGTAGAACTTGTTTTTACCATTAAAAAAAATAAGTAGTGAGAATATATCTACTTTTCTACATTCAGCACTATAGATTAATTTTTCATGGATTTTGTTGGAACTGTCACATTGAATCAGAGATTTATGTAATATAATTTTGGAAGAGAGTAATCTATGTTATAAGTGATATATTTAAACTAAAGCATGATAATTTTTTAATAACAAGTGTCATCTTTCAGTAATAGATTACATTAACTAAGCATGCTCGCTATCATTTACCTGTCTATCCCTATTATTAAGTAGTATGTCACCTGACATAAATCTTCAGATATATTGTCAGTAATTATATTCCTACTTAACTGATGAAAGAAAGACAAATGGGATTCTACTACTTAAACAGCAATTTGGTTGTCAATACATAAAACTGTAGAATATTGTCTTTGTATAAGCTTGAACAAATATCTATAACCACTGTGAGAAAATACAGTCCAGACAGCAACCCAAGTGCAACAGAGGCATAGGATTGGACTGAAAAGTTATTGGGAGGGGTGCAAACTTCTACAAGTGAAAAGCAAAAAAATCTTTTCTGTAGTCTTAAACAGTGTACAAGTTAGTCAATGTCATCTTTCAGTACTGTATTTTCTTATGTATAACTGCAAAAAGGTAGCTGGATATACATGATTTTTATCACATAAAATTGTGCCAAAACTGACCGTGGATTTTTTAATTTGCTGATTCAATTTTTGAAAACAGATAGATAAAAAGGATAACAAAAAATGCCAGAAATATTAAACATTACTCAGTACAACATACAACACCAAAAAAATCCAGAAATATTAGAGAGTACTCTGACAGTACAACGTACCACATCAACCACAACATCCAACTCCTCTGAAAGTATGATGTACAAGCAACAATAAATGACACAAGGTTCAAATAACTTTAGACAGTACATTGGTATATTATTTGCAACAAGTAACATCTAAAAAAGCCGTTGTAACTTGTAATATTTGGACCACAAATACTGGAGTATAAATTTGATATGTTTTCTAGATGTCGATTTAGTTTTTCAATGCTAATCATGCTAAAATGTAAACTTCTTTAAGTGTTTTATGATCGTAGACAGGTTTTGATTAGAGTTGTGTCCTCTCGTTTGTACTTTTCTTGCTTATATTTGTAATTTATTGACTGCATGAAGAAATTGAATACAGAAAACTATGTTACTCATAGCATATTTTTATGTCAATTTGCTACCAATAATAGCATGTGAGAGTTTAATAAGACTTGGTACCTTGCCAGATAAACAGGTTGATGTAGTACCCCCAACTAAACATAATAAGCTATGTTAGTAACTAAGGAATGTATAGCTAACAAGTATAATATATGTTTTATGTCGCCTTGATCGTTTACTACCAATTTCTGTATTCTTACCAGGTGGGAATAGTATATACTTGGCATACTTTACTGTCACAGATGTAAATCTTAGTGATTTGTCCAGAATACTTACAATTGTTCCAGCCATTCTGTTTGGTTCACTGGTATTGAAATTAATGACACTGACATACACAGATTTTCAAAGAATTTATTATGTACTTTTAGTCCATTCTGGTCCCATTATACATTATAGATTATTTTTGATATTCAGTTCTCATAATCTCAATCTCCCTGGTGATCCTCACTATTATTTCTATTGCAAAATACCAAATTTGTGTTGGTCCTTTGTAAAATTTTGGTGGTCAGGACCTTCCGATCACCACTTTTCGAGAATTCTGAGATATTCGGAAAAAATTTTAATAAAATTTTAAATGAAAGGTTAATTGTGTCACTGATGAATACCCCACCTGTATTTTTATCCATTCTTAGATATTTACGACTCTGCCCTATGTTGGTTTTTTTTCAACAGAAAAGAGATTACCTGTAAATTTATTTAAGTAATTTTAATTCCGAACGATTATTGACAACTTGACTGCATACAGTACCTCTAATAAATAACTAATCAATTATTTATGTTTTATCTTCATTATAAGGTTAACCTTACTGCTAGTCAATGTTAGAAAACATTCACTCTCTCACAGTCAAATACCACAGACTCTAAGGTAGTTGATAATGTGATGAATAAAATATTGTCTATTGCAGATTTGTATAGTTGAACAATTGATGGAACTGGATGCACTGTTGATAAATAAACACAGGTAGACACCAGGTAAGAACATATGATAATTAATTGAGAGCTATTGATTAGAAGTATTATGTTGTCTGTTGGGACAAGGTTAATTTGGGGTTACATAAGGACAAAAATACATGTATATAATTAATATGCACGTAGGACAGAAATACATGTATATAATTAACATGCATGTATAGAAAAGTGGTACATTCAGGAAATGAAAAAAGAATGCATCCATTAAATTGAATATATGTTCCTCCTGTTTAACTACATCTTGAAAATGATCCATATTTATCAGTGTCTGAAAAATTACACTAAACTCAGATTCACCAACCTAATAAGGTTATGAGCATGCTGAAACTTATGATTGTATCAAATTTTCTTATCTTTAGATTATTGTGATGCATTTTTTTACCAACAAAACTCAATGGTGTAAAATATAACGAAGTTTCAGTCCGAGTTGTTGGCTGTTTAAAATTTGAGCTCAAATTTAACAGACCTGTGACTTTTTGCTTGAGCTACTCAATAAGACTTTAATAAAGTGATACGTCAAGTCAGTGTCTAGTAACATCCTCAAGTAATAGCAATTAATTAATAGCCCTCCCAGATACCCTTTTAATTTGATGTATTGTCTAGATTTGTACTATAGAAAAATGTGCCATAAAAATTAACTTTTACATCACCAGACCTCACAAAATATTGATTATACGTTTCACAATCCAGACTATATTTAACTTATAATGATTTCATACATAGAGGTTATCTAAGGACTAGCTGCTATTTCTGGTAAGCTATTCAGTATGAAATTTTATTTAATGGATTAAATAATTATTTTAAAATTACCAACTGAGAAAATTTATAGTGTCAAGTGAAAAAATTCATTAAATTAATATATTAAATGATTCCAGTTCTGTCCTGACAGTAATATTTCAGATCATCCAGGGTCGATATCAAAGATTATTATGCCCCACCTACGATAGTAGAGGGGCATTATGTTTTTCAGTCTGTGCGTCCGTTCCTTCGTCTGTCCATCCGTTTGTCTGTCTGTCCCACTTCAGGTTAAAGTTTTTGGTCAAGGTAGTTTTTGATGAAGTTGAAGTCCAATCAACTTGAAACTTAATACACATGTTCCCTATGATATGATCTTTCTAATTTCAATGCCAAATTAGAGTTTTGACCCCAATTTTACGGTCCACTGAACAGTAAATGATAGTGCAAGTGGGGCATCTGTGTACTATGGATACATTCTTGTTATGTTGTAACATGGTTTAAATTGTAGTATTAAAGTCATGAAAACTTTTATGGATTTGATTGATTCTTGAAATAGTTTCTATAAGAGTAAATGTAGAATTCTAACCCACATGGTAAATGCCTTTGCGGTCTCATGGATGCCTGTCATCTCCAGTGCAGGAAGGCATTATTGCCATCCCTAACTTGGTCAAACATAAGGCTTAAAAATGAAAGTTTGCAGCATCTCCACCAGGGATCATAGTCCCAGACTTTTACATCTGAGACAAGCACACTACAGAAAGACCACCCAGGCAGTTACCAATAATCTCTATTCATATAAAATAAGAAGATGCTGTATGATTGCCAATGAGACAACTATCTACCAGAGACAGTATGATGTACTGGTATATATATGTTAGAAACTATAGGTGACTCACCGTACAGCCTTAAACAATGAGCAAAACCCATACCATATAGTAATCTATAAAAGGCCCCAACATAACAAGATGTAAAATAATTCAAACAAGAAAGCTAACGGCCTGATTAATGTAAAAAACAACAACAACAACAAAATAGAAATGATATATAGCAACAAATGACAACCACTGAATTATATCCTCCTGAACTCGGACAGGCACATTCAGAATGTGGTGGGGTTAAACATATTTGCGGCCACCCAACCCTCCCCTAATCAGAAAATCAATATTCAATTCATTCATAACTTGTCTATGGGTACCACATATGGAGCAGGATTTGCTTATCCTTCCGTAGCACCTGAGATCACCCCCCGTGTTTGGTGGGGTTCATGTTGCTTACTAAGTCTTTAGTTTTCTATGTTGTGTTTTAAGTACTGTTTGTCTTTTGGTCGTTTTTTATATGACCGCAAAAATTAAAAATTTTTTGGTCGTATATTGGTATGACGTTGGCGTCGTCGTTGTCGTCGTCTGGCGTCGTCCGAAGACACATTGGTTTTCGCACTCTAACTTTAGTTTAAGTGAATGGATCTCCATGAAATTTTACCATAAGGTTCAATACCACGAAAGGAAGGTTGGGATTGATTTTGGGGGTTATGGTACCAACAGTTAAGGAATTAGGGGCCAAAAAGGGGCCAAAAATAAGCATTTTTGTAACTTCCAGACAATAACTTGTGTGTAAGTGTATGGATCTCTCTGACATTGTACCACAAGGTTCCATATCACAAAGGGAAGGCTGTAATTGATTTTGGGGGTAATTGCCTCTAAATTTTAGGAATTAGGGGCCAAAAAAGGGGCAAAAATCAAGCATTTTTCTAGTTTCATGACAATAACTTGTGTGTAAGTGTTTGGATATTTCTGAAATTGTACTACAAGGTTCCATATCACAAAGGGAAAGCTGGAATTGAGTTTGGGGGTAATTGCCCGAAACGTTTAGGAATTGGGGGCCAAAAAGGGGCCAAAAATAAGCATTTTTCTAGTTTCCAGACAATAACTTGTGTTCAAGTGTATGGATCTCTCTGAAATTGTACTGGAAGGTACCATACCACAAAGGGAAGGTTGGTATTGAGTTTGGGGGTGATGAATCATAAGGGGGTTCAAAAAATTTGGGAGGGGGGATTTTTTGTTTTTCTTCTTTTTTTTTTTTTTTCCTTTTTTTTTATCTTTTAAAATTTTCCATTTTAAGTTGGTTATTTCTGATTAATATTTAAAAGCAAATAATAATGATATGGTAGGAGATACACACCAAACAGGATGTGTAAATTATTATATAATAAGTATTGTGCAATAGCAAGAAATTTTCAATTGCACAGTATTGCACAATAGCAAGAAATCTTCAATTGCACAGTATTGCGCAATAGCAAGAAATCTTCAATTGCACAGTATTGCGCAATAGCAAGAAATATCCAATAGCACAATATTGCGCAATAGCAAGAAATTGTCAATTGTACAGTATTGCGCAATAGCAAGAAATTTTCAATTGCACAGTATTGTGCAAAAGAAGATACTTCGTATAAATTGCTTATTTCTTGATCAATTTCAATGGGGTTTTATTCTTGAATTCTTGGGGTTCTTTAATATGCTGAATCTAACCGTGTATTAAGTTTTTGGAATTTGGGCCCCATTTGTAAATTGGTCCACATTGAGGTCCAAAGGGTCCAAAATTTAACTTTGTTTGATTTCATCAAAAATTGAATTATTGGGGTTCTTTGATATGCCGAATCTAACCGTGAATTTAGATTCTTAATTTTTGGTTCCGTTTTCAAATTGGTCTACATTAAGGTCCAAAGGGTCCAAAATTAAACTTAGTTTGATTTTAACAAAAATTGAATTTTTAGGGTTCTTTGATATGCTGAATCTAAACATGTATTTAGATTTTTGATTATGGGCCCAGTTTTCAAGTTGGTCCAAATCGGGGTCCAAAATTAAACTTTGTTTGATTTCAAAAAAAATTGAATATATGGGGTTCTTTGATATGCTGAATCTAACCGTGTATTTAGATTTTTTATTTTTGGGCCCCGTTATCAACTTTGTCCACATTGAGGTCAAAAGGGTCCAAAATTAAACTTTGTTTGATTTCATCAAAAATTGAATTCTTGGGGTTCTTTGATATGCTGAATCTAACCATGTATTTAGATTTTGGATATTGGACCATAATAGGTGAATGTCCAATTTAAAATTTTTAAGTTCTTAGACCACATTCATTCTGTGTCAGAAACCTATGCTGTGTCAAATATTTAATCACAATCCAAATTCAGAGCTGTATCAAGCTTGAATGTTGTGTCCATACTTGCCTCAACTGTTCAGGGTTCGACCTCTGCGGTCGTATCAAGCTGCGCCCTGCGGAGCATTTTATTATTTATTTGCCATGGTATTGTCAGTTTGTTTTCCACTTATGAGATCGAATATTCCTTTGGTATTTTTTGTCTTTCTTTTGTCTAGACATGAGGCAATTTAGAGCTCAATATATGATTATGGATGTTTTTCCATCAACTTAGACCATGAGTTGACCTCCCAATATCATCTTTTGGTTTACTGGTAATGTTTGATTACTGTCACTTTATTTATTACCCTATGTCTCCCATTAATCAGGCATCAATTACAATACAGTGCTTGAAATGTGGGTATTTATGTTTGGCTGGTATAATTGACACTTCCTGTAATGTCTTTGAGAAAATGAAATAGAAAAAAAACATATTTTTAGGACATGCTATCCTTCAGCAATTATAACTGTTTTTCATTATTTTGGGATCCATCTTTATCAAAATACAAGTTTTATAGCTGTATCTGATGTTTGTAGAAAACAGATATTTGTGGTAAAATGGAGAGTGTTGGTAGGTGAAATATTATCAGTCAATTTGGTTCTTGGAAATAACAAACATTTGCAGGAAACATGCATTGATCTGCCTGATAAATATATTTCCAAACAAAAGAAATTAATTGCCAGTGTTAACACATGAAGTCAAACATTGACCAGTAATATAGACAATATATACTTCCATGGTCATGTAGACATGATCTTTCTGACCTTAATGAAACATTGAAAGGTGATGGGTAAACTATACAGCTTTTGAAAAGAACTTAAAATAAAACTTTTCAAATGATACATTTAATCTTGAATATGGAAAGCAAAGAAATTATTACTTAGAAGTTACTTATTAATCTTGTTAGTAGGTGATCAATGGTTAGTTTTAAAGTGTAAAAATACTTCCCTATTTCCAAACTTACTTCATCATAAATGGTTATATTATAAGAGTAGGTTGTTTTCAAAAGGAAGCTAATATATATTTTTCTTTTCTCCGGTTTTGTTAATCAAAAAAAAAATTGCTGAATAAGCTTTATTATTATTGGTAAAAGGAAATTTGGAGAACACCAATGAGACAGCAACCCAATGACCAAAAGACATCTAGAGGTCAGCATGCAGTCTTCAACAAATAGATACATGTTTATATAATGTGTCAAGCTTTAAATTGTCCAGAGTTAAGAAAAATTGGAACAAATTTAACAAATTTAAGAATACCTACCCAAAAAGGTAGATAGTTATGACGTGAAAAGTCCCAATAACCTTTGAGGAAATGTATATCAAACTTTTACCCAGTTATTGTTCACCTCTAGTGAGCACTAATAAAGAAATCTTAGAAATCAACATGTTTAATTTTACAATGAGATCAAAAATAAAACATCATTAACCTCAGAAACACAGTTTTGATAAGATTTATACCTATTTGAACTTAAGTGTGCACATAACTAAATAATGAATGAATGAATGTAAGTTTTCTTTCGATTGACATCATGTCTTCTAATGACATTTATGCATAAAAATCCATCACAATACTTCATGAATATTTTATTTTCATTTTATAACTTTTCAAGGTTGAGTGGAAACATTTCTTCTATATTGTGTAATAATAGGAATAACATTTGAAAATTTAGAGCTTTAATTTGGGGATTCACTTGTGGAAAAGGTTTGAGCCTTTAACCAGTATCTATTTGCAGATCCATATATTTCTATGATCTAAAGGCCCTATTTCTACAGTAATCTTAAAAACAGATGCAACCCTCATTCTTAAAAAATTAAACCCTCCACACCAGCTTTACCATTCACCTTTAAATCACAACACTGTACAACCCATAATAGTCATTCGAATTTATTCAAGTAAAGGACCTAAGACTGCTTGGTATGCAACTTGAACAAATTGAGGGTGATGCTTGAAAAGGATATAGTAGTAGATGTAGGTGTATACAAATCTATTACCCAGGAATTTTATTGGTACATAATTGATTGACATCCTTTGTTTTCTTGTGTTGTGGTTTTCATCCCATTTCATTTCAAAATATTATATCCACCAACCAGTAGGTGTAGGAGTTTTTACCATTATTTATTGATATGATGAAAAGCAGTTTAAACCAGGAAGAATGCAATTTAAAATGTTTAATTTTAATGTTATATAGCATTACATTTACATAAACTTTAAATGACGAATAAGTTCAATAAATTCAAATTATTTTAGAATATATCAACATAGAAATAGTTTTTAATATGTAAGTGAAAACGATGGTAAAAACCAATATTTTTATTCTTGTGATTTAAGCTGGATTAAAATGATCTAATATTAAGTATTAGTGAGTAGATATTTTTGATAATCTTCTTTGACAAGCTTTACTTAGCACTTTTTGAATGACTTTGATTGTGTAGTGTTGTTCAGGTCATATAATCATATTGACATGTTTGATTTCAAGATCTACGGAGGTATATCTCAGCCAAATCTTACTTACTTCAAGTTTTAATCGGGCAAAAAAATAATCTGAATAATCCATACATTCTACGATTGATCCATTATGATACGAACACTGGCCATTAGAGGTCACAGTAGTTTTCAATTAAATTTTTACAAACAGCACAGTATTTCAAGTGTTCATATGTAAATAGCATTGAACCTAAAGGACTCAATTGTTTAACTCTTAATTTCTTTCAGGAATATTACTGACAGTTTCCCTATTAACCAACATATTTTTTCAATTAAACTGTAACATTTGTATGAAAGGGGGTGTGATAGAATTGTCCCTGGTGCATAATTATCCCACAAGACTCTGACCCTCAGAGATATATCATTATCACATTTCTATAATAACTAATACTGCCCTGTGTGTAATTACCAGTAGTCATATCGGCCCTTTAACACACCTTGGCATAGATTTGTGTCTGTCCAGTGGATAAACTTTTGTAAATCTTTTATTGGATTTTTACAGCTACCAAAGTACAGTGAAGACTTTATATTTTGTACAGTAAATAAATATTGATCACATAAAGGCTTGTCGGACATTAAATCACCAAAGGTGAGTGTATTTACTTTAACAAGATTTGTATTTACTTTTAATTTTAAATTTTTTATGAAACTTTGAAATGAAGAAAATCATATATGAGAAAAGAATTATTACTTTGTTCTGGAATCATTGATGGAAGGAATTTAGATTATGTATATGAAAAAAAAAATGCACTCATTTATAACTATAACAAAACTTGAATAGTCACTGTATATGTATGCTTTTATTTATTTGTATTACCTTTTCAAATGTACTAATTTGCATACAGCTTATATCATAAATACGTTAAGTGTTATATAAGATTTTTATATCCACTGAACAATGTGTTTGCCAAATTTGAAAAGGAATTTTAATAGAATTTATATGATTTTATACAGTTGAAATTCTACCATATTTTTTCATTTTTAATATTGTAATTTGACTTGGATCATGCGTTGAATAGAAATAACACTGGAACTTTGGGATTTATGTTCGGTTATATTTCTCAAATTATATACATATAGCTGTGATAAATAACATGGTAAGAAATTAGAACTTGTAAGTACAATAGTCATTGTTAAAGTAGAGTGGAATGGTAAGACAGTTATGTATTTTGCCTTTATAATTTGGGAAAGAATGGAAAATTTACACAAACCTATTCCTGAAGATTTACTTTTTTATGCAAGAGTATTTAGGTTCTTGGAGGACTCTTTTGACTACCTCTTCCAAAAAATTTGTCAAACTCCACATACATATTCATACGATTTATCTACCATTGTTAAACTTTCTTCTTACATACTTTTATCTGAATATTTCTTTGGAGTGAGAAATGTTTACAAAAAGTACATATTTTAGTTAATTGGTAGTGACTAAACAATTTGATGTCTAATTGTCTAAGGATAGGAATATGATTGTATTAGTAATCAACAGCTGTCCCAGAAATAACATTCTGATTGGTCAATTTCCAATTGACTGAACAATTTACTGTAATATCTCTTGAGTATCTTAATCAGATAATAGAATCAAGATTAGATAACTCTTTGATTGGTTTGTTGATATTGAGTCCAACTTATTTAAAATGATATGACTTGTGTATTTATTTGTGAATGGGATAAGGTTATGCCAATGTATGAAAAGTACATCTTAAGAATTTTAATGAAATTAATGAATGAGTTCAACTACAGACATTTTTTAGATGAATTAGAACATGATTCAAAGCAGTTTAATTCTTCTGTATTTAACCCATTTCTCTGACGTCAGTCTATTGTTCTTACAGTAGATTATTTTTCAAGAATCCACTGACCACTTCGTTAACTTAAGATAACTTATTTTATAACTTTAAACTTTTAACTTACGATTTTTTATCCTCTCAAAAACGAGTGGCATATGAAGGGTTCGAACTCGCGCGTATTTTCTTCATAATCAGTAGAGTCTTCAGTCTATGCATGATACCACTATACCACGAGTGCTGACATAAATCAATATTTAAATAACACTCATAAAGCGCACAACTGTCAATACATGTCAATAAACTGTATGTCTGTCTCAGAGATAATTCGCTTTTGTTATCTAATAAAATATATATACTATGTCTGGATTTGTTCATGTTCTTTTCAAATTTATTTAAATTGTTTTATTTTGGACGTTATTTTTTAAGGAAGATTATGTTCTACATTTGAACGTTCTTGATTATAGTTATATAGCAGTATAGAAATATCTTAAAACAGAGTTTATTCACGATGTCAGGTTTGAACATAGGTCGATTTTCAACATCGTTATAATGAACCGATGGGTCTTTATACGATTGTGGCTATTACACACTAGTTCTAAACATTAGAGAATCAAGGAATTGTATATATTAGTGCAATTCCTTGATAAAATAAACATTCATATGCATTACACTTGTCACTTTTAACGTACAAGGACTTTTCCTTTTTATCATAGCAAATACTTACTTATGGTTTTAGTCTTATAATGATATCGTACTATCAATATTTTTTTCTTTGTTTGATTATAAATGTCCAAATATACATCACGTCAACATTGAACGGACTCTAACTTGAATAAAGTGTGATATATAAGCTACGACCGTAAAACTACTTCTTTGATTGTAAAACCAGAAACAAAATCATCGCCTTTAAATGAAAATGAAGTATATAATACCTCTATGATTAAAGCAATATTTTTGTTGAGAAAAAAATTACAATGAAAAAATTTCAATTCGGGTACAAGGTTTGAACTTGGCACTGTTAATGGCACAGTTATGTTTTTCGGTACCAACGACTAGACGATCACGGCTATGAACAGCTTGAATGTAAAAGTTAAAAATTTACATAATTATACATTGTACATCTGTAGCAAGAGCAATTCTGCTGGAGATTCAGAATGCGTACCACAGATAATACTAGTTTATTGACTGGTTTACGATGGATGCCAAATGTAATAACGTTAAAAATAATCTAAACTTAATGAAAGGGAAACAGTTTAAACAAAATTCATGTATAATTGTTCAAAAAAGACCTTAAGCAATTATTTTATTTATTTCGGAAAGCATCATTAACTGGAACATTATGCAATTGTAGTATTATGGCAACTACGCTAAATATATGTATTTGACTTAGTACGGTTAAAATGGTAGACAATCCGTAATCAGCTGTCAACAATAGCAGATTGCTAAATACTATATATGTAAATTTCAAAGGTTTCTAAATTTTGGTAATTACAATTTTTTAACTATTCAAAAAAAGATAAATAAATTCTGTAAAGTATATATATGTCTTTTTGAATAAACCATAAATACCAAAATCTATATAATTTAAATACTTTGTAATGATAAAGCATTAAATGAAATATAAATATACAAGTATGAAATCTGGTAATAAAAAGGGGAGCTAACAACCCATTTAAGTTATATTAAACGTATGTTAACTTAAATATAGACGTGAACCGTGTGGATATAATCATTTCCAGCTATTATAAAATAAAAAAGACAAAATACGAAATTATTTTTATGAAATTCCGTTGATTCATTGTCAAAACATAAAACAGACAGTCGTTTTACTAGAAATGGGTTAAGCTAGAGAATTGATAAGAAGTAGTGGATTCGGAAACGATAATTAACTTGCGACTAAAGTCGCTCGTTGATTATCGTTTACGAATCCACTACTTCTTATCAATTCTCTACTACATATTTATAGAAAAATACGGCGAAACATGGTATTGTGCAACTTCGATGTAAAAGAAAACTTTAATAACTTAAGTTTTTTATTTGTAAATAGGAAAGGGCCATAAATACAAGGTACTGTGAATTTATTATTATCCATTGGGTACTAATTATCTTGGGTTTAGGTACACCACAAAGTTAAGTGCTCAACTAATATAAATTTTCTATGTGTTTGTATGCAGTATCGGTCAAAACCATCAAGTACCTACAGAATATTGAATATTACTCAATCCACAAAAATTGGTACCCATGAAAAATTGAATCCACATTATTAAATGTTATCAGTGGTTGCAATGAAAGCTTTGTTTCAATATTATTTCTAGTTATTTCCATGGGAAGATTCCTCTTTCATGTCAATTGAAAGTAAGCTGTAAAGTAAAAAACCAGACTTTCAGACATAACAATGAACTTCATGTATAATTAGGCATTGTTTCCAGGCAAAATAACATTTAAACAAAGTTTCACAGAAAAATCAAATTGCTGTTAGGTTTTTAACCTCTTCTAGATTTTTGGTCCTTTCACCAACTATCAGGACTAATTAGTCTAACAAGATATTTTGTCCCTTGCCTGGGGCTTCCCCTCATTATAGAATTGCTAAATTTGTAACTTATAGATTTATCTAAGCGTTCCTAACAGAATATTTGCTAAGCATATTGATCCTGGATTGACGACTAATGATTTGTATACATCATGTGACGTACTGTAAACAATGACAGTAATGTTTGTAAACATTTAGTATCATAAACCACATATTTGAAAATTAAAGAGCAGTTCCCCTAGCATTAATCTGTCAAATAAAGATAAGTTGATTTGATTATCATTTTATTTCCCCGAATTCAGCCTCCAGGTCACTAACTTAAAAATCATTGTTGGAAGGGAGACCTTGATGAAAAAATTAAAAAAGGTCTTTTCCACTTAACTTTTTCCTTCCTCCTTATCAAAATTCTTTAAAGAAACTTAAAGTATCAGCTACTAACCAGATTATTACTGTTAGTCATATGAGTCCCGAAAAGTTTATATTAATGAAACTTCTGTATCTAAAACAAAAGGGTAAAAAGTTTGTACTCTCAACGTTTTGATATTCTCCATGTTGTAAATATTTATCAACTTTTATAGCACAAAATCTGTTTCAATTAATTTTCAAATCTTATTTTTTCGTTCTCAGCATGAGAATTTGTTTTTGTGAGAGAAAAAAAGTTACCTCATTACAAACTTAGATGACCTTACCGCACAAATACAAGCTGTTGCTTGATAAATTTTAAGGATTGCAGTTCTCTTAAGTCATATATGCAGTTTTTTTGAACTCAGATGTTGTCACATACTTATGCTTACATTCCTTTAGTAACTACTTATTGAGGTGGTTTGAACAAACTGTTGCACAATATGGGGATTGCAAGAACAATTTCGACCACTAATTTTTTTCAAGGCTTAATCTTTATAATCCCTCTAGATCAGCATTGCTTGGTAGCTTTATAACGGGAACTTGATCCAATCTTACACCCCAAACATAAAGTGGTTGCCACAAATAGTATTACCTTTATCTATCTTTCTATCATTCTGAAATAAAACAATTGTCTTTTATTCTTTTCCTGATTTATACATGAAGTTGTGTAAACCTGAGTTATAAATCACACTTGCTCACTTTTCCTTCAGGTTAATTCTCTTCCATTGATTGATTTTTGTTTGCTCTATGTCCAGTGACAAATATTTCATACATGTTCAGGAAGATGATTACAATCCAAGTCCCCATCTTTCTTCTAAAGGCAGTGAAATTATTGTGCCATATCATTTAGTTAAACTTTGTTTTATT